TGTAATGGTAACGCCAGATTATTTGTATGTTGAAATGTGTTCAAACAGTTCGACGGTGGATTGAATACGGTGGTGTTGACTGAGAGCACGTAAGACGAATAAATCCGTCAGTAAGAACGAAGGTGTCGTATATTTCCTGGAGGGAGTGATATTTAGGCTGCCTGCTTTGACACTGCATAGCCACAGCGTGGAAAGGACATGGCTCTCCCTGGTGTCTGCCTCTCCTGGCACAGTGTGTGTATAAAGTGCACATAAAGTGTTTGTTGTGTGTGTGTGAGTGGTGTTTCTGATTCTATTTTCATCTGTGTCATGTGTGTGTCTATCGGCACATATGTACTCTCTGCTGTGTTGAGTGGGCATGTTCTGTCTCTAGCTCTCAGTGGGGATACCTTTAGACCTTCCGTGCTTTATACACATTGTTCCCATTTGGTCCTAAACCTGCATTTTAACCTATAATGTCATTGGTCTTCTTTGGTGATTAAGTCCCCCGTTTGTTTCCAATACCACCATTCCCTCCCCCACACACATAAACCAAACACACATAAACACTTCAGGCTGCCTTAGTGTGGCGATGTAGATACATACTCACATGTACACTAAAGCTGTTTCATAGGATACAACTTAATTGAGGGCACCATATGAAAATAGTTGTCATTAATTTGAGTATATTTTCTTGACACACACACACACAGCCAACATCAGTATGGTGGCCTATAAAGCAAAAGATACAGTAATGAGAAACTGACTGTAGTTTTTGTGATTATTGCATATTGTAGTTACTGCGTAATCCTTTCCCCAACTTACACACAACACATGCTTAACAATGCAGGTTGTTGGTTAGTAAGTAAAACAATTAGAATTTTACCTAAATTGACCTGGTCTTGAATGCATTGTGGTCTGTATGCATCTGTTAGCTTTCTATAACACAAGGTTCACTGAACAAACAAGGGTAGGCCAGAGAGTGGGACTGGTTTATAGCAGTGTTTCCCACACCTTGACTTAACCTGGGCGGGCCTTGCAGCTATATGAACAGCTGCCCAAATATATTTAGTGACCCAATTTAGCATAACATTTTGTTTTATCTATCCCTGAAAAGAAATCCATTAGTGACCAATTAAGTAGTGGACTAGTGGCGGCACAAAACAGACGTAGAGCTCTGACAGACTTCAAGTCACACGTACCAACACACGAGGTTCATTCCAGAGCCCGCAGGGATTGTTTTTAAGAAATCTTGACAGCCTTTGTTTAACTGCTTTTCCTAATTAATGTTGTATTACTTCATCCACCAGCATTGCTATTTATAAGAAATATATATATTTTTCACCCAAGCCATCCGATCCGCACGATAAACCGCATGCCCAAGGTTATAAATGCAATCCACGCGTCACTGATGTGTGTGGACGTAGAGACACTGAGGAAGTGGGCGTTGCCAGTTCATCTGCACGGCATGCAATGATGCCTCTGCCTGGCTGTCGGGCTCACGCAGCAGCAGTAGCTAACAACACTACACCAAAAAGGTACGGTGTAAAGTAAAGAAAAGTCTCACTAGCGTCAGCAATGCCCCTAGATTTGGGAACATCTGGTTTATCGACTAATGCAGCTGACAGCAGGGACCACACAAATAACATGTCCCATCCCGCATGGTCAGCTAAGGCCACAAATACAGCCACATTCTGTGGGAAACACTGAAGAGATGACCCCACAACAGGTGTAAGAGAACAAAGATTGTACTGTATGTGTGTGTGCAGCAGTTTCAAACCTTTGTCTAACAGTCTCCTTAACATACAAATATGATATAATATGTGCTATCCTACATCACAGAGGAGCCCTAACACATACAGTATGCCCACCGTTCCCGACTTAATTTTCCCTTTAATGGTGAAAGGAACACGGTGTTCCAGAGGCATAGTTAATGAAGAGCAAATGCAGCCCCTAGCAAAGGCCTTCAGTCCACATTCATCATGGATTCAATTTCCCCCGTGCACGTACAGAGAGTATCAGGAATCATTACAACACAACTAGCAGGCATCCCCTGCTCATAAATAAGCCTGTTAATTGACCTGTCATAGTTAATTGCTGCAGGGGATAGGAGACTAGTGTAAGTGTGTTTAAAAAAAAGAGTTTGGCTGTATGTGTGCTAGTGTTTGTATCTAACAGTGTTTATGCATGTAAATGTGTAAAATAAGGTAGACAGATATATTGAGAGAGAAAGTGTGTGTGTAGGGGTGAGCAGTTGAACATCTTGGGTGTGTTTCAGAGCTATTACTCATCAGTCTTGAGAGAGGTGTGTGTGTGTGTGTGTGTGTGTGTGTGTGTGTGTAGTGGACCAGGGCAAGAATCGACTCAACTGGTCCTCCTGTCCCAGTACAGGGCCAGAGAGAAAGATAAGCAGAGAGAGAGAAAAAAAACAGAAACGGAAAGAGATCAAGAAACACACACAGGAGGATAGAGGCACGCAAAACAAAACCCATCATCATTTTTTGCCCTCGTTTCTTTGCCCCTCTCTATTGGGTTGTAAACTCACTGAAGTACACACACGTGCACACACGCGCTTACAAATAGACAAAAAAATTAGTGAGAGAGGAAGCATCGTGTCCGTTCAGAAAGGAGGACTGAGTCATAAAGTTTACTCGGCCACATCCCAACAGGGAAGAACTAACTGCAAGCGCAGCTGCCATAGAGCCGAAGGGACCTCGATGATGTGTCAACAGACACTGCTCAAACACAGGCGTAGCCTCTGTTATGTCTCCCAGACCATTTTCTTCCACTATTGACTGAAAGTGTACAGTGAACTTAAACTTCTGGTGAACTTAAACAAGGAAAAATCATAGTTCAGCTCAAACTAGGGAAGGTTGTGCCCCGCAAGCTTGATTTGAGCTTGGTCAGAATTTTATGGATCAGTTCCAAATCCTATAAAACTCTTTAAAGGGAGCAACACAAGTAAAACAATATCCTTGTCCCAATTCTCTTGTTGTCCAATCATAAACATCTTCTCACAGTACATTGGGTACCAAGGTGCACCTGTCCGATCAAACTGTATTCTTAGCAAGATATAGTTTAAGCTACTGAATTTTATACATCAATAACTCTAACAAACGAGCCCAAACTCCTCAATATCATCCTATATGCACTGATCTTACTTTCATCCCTCCCGGCAATGATTCTGATACTGAACTCGTATTCGTCGATACAGAGTACAGATCTGAAACCAGTGCACTCTTTTCCTGTATACAGCCTGTATACAGCCTCTCGTGGAAATCCTTTTTTTTGTCAGGGGATGCTGTAATCAAACATATCTTCTTAACACCCCAGTTTATCTTGAGACATACACATCCCAACGTTCTATTAAAAGATGTTAAAGACAGGGACTAAGATGCAGCATTTGTTTTGTGATTGGTCACATTAGGTGATACTTGACCCCTTCATACATTATTTTATATTTTATGTTACTATTATATTACATTTTCTTCTTTCTCATGACTGTATGGCTACACATGCGCGCTATTTGGATCTTTCAGATCGGTGTGAAACCTTGTATTGAGCCCTGAGATCAGCACATTCTTGATGAAGCGAATAATCCTCTGGTTACTGCGTGGATAGGCTTGCTGCTGACATTCAGCAGAAAATGAGCTGAATGTTCACTCAAAGGCCCTCATTTTATCAATACTCCCCTCAGTACTAAAATGTCAAAATGCTGTACCTATATTTATTCAATAAAAGAAAATGCACTTAAGTCTCTCACTTAAAAGCTTGGGTTTATATTTATCATATTTTGCAATGCATTCATTCGTGTTACTGTTTACACACAATTGTATGGCTTAACTAATAATTCATTCAAGTGGGCAAACTCTCTCACTGCACACATCCTGAGACTCAAGCGTTGGAAGGGTCACTAACGGGGAAGATGCTTGAGTTACTTCTCTAATCTTGCCACCACTTTGCTGTTTTAAAACTTGAAAACTTGAATTTATTTCTAATGCCTGTTCATATTCTGCCTCCACCTAGGGCTGGGCGATAATTCAATTTGATAATTAATCATCTTTCAATTGGAATAATATTGTGATGAAATCATGTATCCAGAAGTCCGTAGTCTATATTGATAAGTTCTTAATTAAATGAGGAATTACTCAGGACTTCTCATTTTCAAAGTATTTAATTCATACAAGCGTATACAAAAGTATGTGGTTGTTTCGTGTAGATTATTTGTTTAACGAATTACCAGAAAGCTGCTATATCAGGCTATATATATTGTTATTGTTATATGAAATGACCTATATGGTGATAGAGGATTTGGCTATATCTCCCAGCTCCCAGCTTTGAATGATTCTGGGGGCTCAAATGTAAATCTAAATTTGATGACTTTCTCTGGCTCTTTGGAGCTTTAAATGTCACTGTGGAGAACTTCCTGTGAAAAAGTAATCAAATTCCAAGTAGAGTTTCAAGCCTAATTCTTCTGGAATTCCCTTGATTCCTAACAGTCACCCAAGTATGAAACCCCCTCCTGCTCTATCTCAGCTGCAGTGGAGGCCTTCCTCTTGGGGAAATACGCAGTAGAGGAAACGTCTCAGAGATGAGAGAGATGACAGAAAAAAAGGAATACAGTGAATATATAAGCATATCATTCTATTTTTTCCCTTCTTCTTAGAGCAAGACAAAGCAGACCTGACAATGCTGTTGGCACGTGGTGGAAAATTAACCCTCGAGAGGCGAGCGATGGAGGCTGATTTCAATTCAGAGGTTAAGGTCTTTCAACATCAAGCAAACAGTTCTCATCTGCCAACAGTTGACTGGCTCATACCTTTAGGCCAAGTTATACAACACATATCAGCTGCTTAGTATGGCTGCAAGTGTGCAGGGGGAGCTTCTTTAAGAAACACCTGCTTGGTTTTTCTATAACGACAGACATAGTCCTAAAATATTATTCGGCAAAAAGTACATCACTGTTTTTTTCTTTTTATAATTGTCTCTGTTGAGAAGAAAAGTAATTGTCGAGCCATTACCTGGAAGGGTCCGCTGGGGCTGATGTCGAAGAATGCTTTCCTCCAGTCTGGGCCCTGATGACCAGACTTCATCCACACCACCGAGTCCACAGAGGCAATGCTTCTCACTCTCAGGAGCACATTGAGAGTGCCTGTGAAAAATATTCACAAATTCAGTCCAATAAGCAAGCATGTGCACACACACACACACACACACACACACACACACACAGAGAGAACAGATCATTAAAAAATGTCGGTGAACTGTGAATGAGCAAAGACTGAATACTGGGTTAGGTAAGGCTGGGAACAGACTTTAGGATGATTGAAATCTTAAGAAATCTTGAGATCTTGATCGCACTGAACTAATTTGCTGTGATCTGAGATGTGTCTGATCAGTTTAAATACTGCAATCCGAACTGCAACTGGCCTAACAATCATGTGTGTCCACCTCTTTATCAACAACATAAAGATATATGTGACCAACTAATGATAGCTCCCACCGTATACCTACAATTAATGTAAGTAATTGAGAGAAACAGAAGGTAGTTGGTTGTGACCACTGCTTTCATCCCAGATAAACTGATCCATGTCTTACAGCCCTTTGTTGGGATCTGACTATATGGCTTCGACATGTGCTGTGGAACAAAGAGAGAGAGTCAGGCCTTCCCTTTTGCAAGCAAAGGTTTCATCCTGATTGTAGTTTGATGAGCACCAAACCCCCAACTTTGAAGAAATTTACATTAGGGTGTGAGTTTCCTCCCCGAAATGCCACACTGCTCTCATTGGACGAGAGGAGGGATGCCGAGGCGGGACCTCCGGTAAGACGATGTTGCTCCCCCAAAAACTATGCATTCCTGAAGTTCCCTGAAAGCAGCGATGCAATCTAATTGGCCGAGAGCCAAGACACCCCAGGACCCCTGTGGTTCAGCCACTGTTCTACAAAACTACCTGCAACCCCCACCTCAATGCTTTTCCCCTTCGACCTCCGTCGAGCTAGGGAGCACACCAACGTTGTTTCCCTTTTCAACCAAATCCTAGGTCTAACAGTTTATATTCGCTGGCCGAATTCACCAAACTGTCTATTTTATTTTTGTTCGTATCCACGAAGCGAACCCTTTTATTCCTGCAGAAGTGAAGAAGCAAGACTTCTTCAGAAAGAGAGAGAGAACTTCCACTCTCCACCAAGCGCCTCGTTTGCTCCGGCCATAAGGACGCGAAAATCCCTGATCCAGACGACAGCGATTCTCTCCTACCGAGAGAACACCTCCCGCGGCCCGCAGCCGCGCTGCCTGGGCCCAACGAAGCTCAGAAGAACCCCCCTCAATCACCACGATCGCATCGTACCGTAAGGCGAGATAGAGTCTGGGCAGAGTTGGAGAGAGTTCATTTGTGTTTATTTTAACTTGTTTGTGTGCTTAAAGTACTGTTCATTTTTATAACGTGGTGTATGCTTTATGATCACCGACACTGGCGATCCCTGAAATTGCTGGTGTTGTGTAGAAGTTACCGTGTATTTCATGCTACCGTGATTCGTGTCGAGACAGCCGCAGTGAGGTCGAAGTTGCTTCTCATCAGTTCAGGAGGTCAAACCGCCGGCTGAGACAAAGAGTCGCGGTTCTTGCTCCCCTGGCTGAGAGAGCAATCTTCCGTACTCCCGCGCAGCGCAGAGGATCTTAATGTTTTGTTTTATTTCATTTTGTTTTGTTCCTTTCCCTTCTCTTTTACTAATACACACACACACACACACACACACACACACACACACACACAGCTTTGAGCTAATGTAGCTACGTGCTAAACGGCTACCAGCACTAGACGCCGGGTCTCCTGTTGGCTATCCGCCATTTTGAGTCTCGCGCATGAGAGACGTCACCACGTCCCAACTACATCATACGTCGCTGAGCTGTTCCCTCGCTGCTCCCCCTTACGCACACACACACACACACACACACACACACACACTCCCCCCTCCTCTTTTCAATCGTCTGTTGATTTTAGATAGCGTGCTCATGAATATATAGTTGTTGTTAGTTTAGATATTAGTTGACTACATCATTAGTATTAGAACGTAATAAACTCTGTTATATTTTAAAGAGCAGCTGTCTGTGATTACTTTGTGCATGTGTATTGTGATAATAGCTGTATATGTGGTCTGTGCTCGAACTTAAACCTTCACTTTCACTCTGAATGTGTAATAGTACTCACTGTTGACATTGTGAGTGAACACTAATTATGACTTAGTTTATCATTTGGTTATTAGTCCCTGTTCGCAGGGTGGTGCCCCGTTATTATTAATAATTGTTACTGACATTAATAATTCTATTGATGTCAAGAATTTAGTTTCTTAGATGCTGATAACCCAAACACGCTCCTTTACGTTCCCTACATATTGGTGCCCCCTTTTTGAGGCTATGTTATTCCCAACACCTGCAAGCTCTGTTCGGTCATCGTCATTTGCATAAATTCAACCAACATCACCAAATATCTAGCTGCTGTCAAATTGTCACCATTAAATGACAGAGACAATTGAGGATTTATTTTCCACAAAATCTATAGGGGACAAACTCTCAGCAACAAAACACACTGCTAGACCTATGTTTGAGCACCACATACTTTAACTTATACATACTTCTATATGCAAAAACATGGTTGTGCTGTGGACCACACCTAATTTAGAAGTGTAAAAAAAAATGTAGTGCATATGCTAGGGTGAAGCTCTAAGGTCAGATGTATGTGGATGACATTTAGGTGGAAATTAAATGTGTGAATTGGATGAGTGGTGACATGTCTTGAACTCTACATTGACAGCCCAGTGGAAAGTTATATTTTGCACAATGGAGCAAAAGGACAGCAGGAAGGAGGGAGGGAAAATATTGTTTCCTTTAACATAACGTTCTCACGTAAATGCCACATGATGTTTGCTTTGTAAGTACTGACGAAACATGACATAAAAATCGTGGTGTGAACCCTGAAAAATAAGCTACAGAGAATGACACCTTTCGAGCCATAAGGAAGTGATCCAAATAGTCTCCCTCTCTCTCTCTCTCTGTCTCTCTGGTCTCTTAAGGTGTGATAGAGCCATTCATCTTCTTAACGATCCTCAGCCAGCCCCTAATTGGAACATTAACCAACCACCAGTCTCTTAAACAAATACGCAGGCAGGGGGCACGGTATCCATGTGTTATATACTGTGTATGTGTGTGTGTGTAGATGTATGCTTGCGTATTAGCACAAATGTTTGTCATTATATTGTGTACGTGTATCTTTGAGGTCACATTCTTCAAACTTTGAAATCAGGCTGGCACTAATTAAGTTCCCGCTCTGTCACGTGAAAGGTGTGACTAAGAAAAGTGTACTGTTAATAAGGGCAAGCAGGGAAGTTAAATAACATGTAGGGGGTATCTGTATGTGAGGAGAAAGAAGCAGCTGTGAAGCAAACTGTTGATGCATACTGAATAATGTGTGAATACTATTCCTTGTTTTATGGGAATTTTGGGGTAATGCATATATTAAAGAACAACAAAAAATGAAAGCTGCAAGCAGCATTGATCAGGCCCTCGCACCCTTGCTCATGTCGAGGTTACTTTCTGGACGCCGGTTGACGGGACCTTGCTCTTCCTTGACCATCAGACACTGTGTGCACGAGTTGGACGGTATTTCCTCCGTGGAGCAGCGGCGTCGTCGGGTCATTTTGCAGCTTAAACCTGGAATGTTTGAGTGTCTCTCTGAATACTGTTTTAAATGAAAGTGAACGCTGCTGTTCATTTCCTGCACGCTTTGAGACATTTAGTCGCCAGACTTCTGTCACTTTGGTTGTTCATTCAATAGGTCCGTTGTGTTTCCTGTGTGCTCTTTATTGAGCTTAACCAGAACCAGAGGACAATTCATAGACATTCTTTTTTGTTGGCGCCTGCTGCAGTGAATCATTCTCTTAATTCTGGTCCTGTACTTTATCATATTTCTTTTTATAGTTTAAACATAAACACAAAGGTTTCTCAGTTGATTCGATCTGTCTGTCCACAGCTAATCAATAATTCTGCTGGACCCACCAGCCGAATATTTAGTGTGCTCATTTATGACTTTATGCTCGAGGACCTGTCGTGGTTATGTGGATTCACAAATTTTTATCAGTGACTGCTGACTCGTCACTCCTCTTAGGCCCGGGTTGCACCAGCAAGTAGTTAATCTGAGATTAGTTTTGATCAGAGTTTAGAAAAACTATGTTAAAAATGAGTAAATCTAGATTTAGAATTTAGCACAAATACAAACCAACCTCTGCTCAGTAAATCCAAGTTTAAACCAAAATGACAGAGTTTTATTAATATGAAGAGGCCTGCTTATCCAAATTAAAATGATTAATAATCCTCCAATTTATCCGTTTTTGAGAAAAAAACTTGTGGCTAAATTAGTGGAGCAATTTGGCCAAATAATAGTAGATAAACACGCACAACAGCACCGTAAGGAAAACACTTTTTCACAGTAAAGTAAAAAGAGACTTCCGGTTCAGCTCCAGAACAGTTTCCTTTCTGAACCGGAATCTTGGAAGTAATTCAGCAGCAGCATGATAAAACTCAACTGATAGAGTCTGTCCCTTAACTTTTTGTAAGGAACTTGATTTAAACGGGTTTAAAAGTTAATCCTTGTTGGTGCAACCGAGCCTTAACCTGGCAATCTTTAAGATTTCAGTCCTAGTTGATTGAGGATTTCTGTATGAACTGAATTTAAAGCTGTAGGGCAAAGACAATTCAGTTATATTCATTGTTCTAAAATGAAGTACTTAATGTTAAGATAAACATTTTTCAAAAGCTTTGTGCAATGATTTTATATTTTTAAACCCAGCCCTTATTGTAATTGAAATGAAAGAACATTTATTTATTATTAGAGTATTAGAATTTATTATTATTTATAATTCATCCATTTAAATTTGAAAACTGACGATGAATATTGTTGAGATATTATTCAATTGAACTTTCTTTATTTGATTTGACAGTCAGTTGTTGACCACATACAGACATTAATTCAACTGCTAGGCTACTTCAATAATTATGGCACTAAATCATAGCGCAAGTTAGACATTATTTTTATGTTCCGGACCTTTGCGTGAGGAAATTCTCTCTTACTGGAACTTGTTGAATTTGAATCGTTAGAC